AGTCCCATATCTGTGCAGGGGAACAAACTCAACAATTCAAGCTGCTAGACGGGCACCCCACTAGCTGAGCTACATCCCAAACATCCCCTCCACCATTTGCCACAAGCCTCACTCAGCTCAACCTTACCTTGAACGTCTGCTTCCTCCCCCCAAGTGCTGGGCTTCCAGGAATCCGTCACCATGCTCAGCTCCTTACCCCTCTATGGGGATTGAACCGAGGAATTCACAAATAGCAGTTAAATACGCCACCATCAAGCTACACCCCCAACTGATCCCCTTTCAAATTTTAAGTAAACAAATTGAATTTATTTGTGAAAACGCTACTCTTATACTTAGGTCATCTAATAACTGTCTTTTGCTTTTGTGTGAGCTTTCTCGGTTCTGATGTAACTTAGCCCAACAATATTAACATTTAACATAAATCGTCCAGCCTTGGATATACAACCAGGTTAAGGCCAGCCTGGGCTATATGAGACACTGTCTTGGGAAGTCCAGTAGTTCCAATCCCTCAGACTGCCAGCCCTCTTACTCAGGAGCCGCCTTTGCGTGGTGAGTCGAGGCTCGCCTTTCCTGTCCACACCCTCCATTTCCCCGCCCCGCCTCAGCTCTGTCCCGTCCTGCCTGTGGTCATCTGTAAACCCAGGAAGGTCCAGTGGCTTTCAAACCTGCTTTGCCCAAGAGTCTGCTTTGACGGGTCAAACATCCCCTCCCTCTTTCATTCTTCCCACTGCCTGTGGCCGTCTGCCCATCTCTGCACCCACAGGCCTGCTCTAGCTGAACAGCTCACCCACCAGCAGTTCCTGCGTGGGCCGAGCAGAGGAAAGCCAGGATCATATCAAACACAGCCCAAGAAAATCCACAAGCCAAATCACAAAACCGAAAACAACACAGAGGCCCAAGACAGGAAGTCTTCCCTTAACCCACAGTCCTATAGAAGTGTTCTCAGATGAGAGCTGCCCAGAAGAACCCAGGACACGGGGATTTTTAAAGTCATCATCAATTTTTATCAGAGAATTCAAGGAATTTAAAGAGGACATTAACACTTCACTGGACTCATAAGCACTCAGCAATGTTCGCGATCATACAAAATACGGCAAATAAATGGTGAAAAAGAAAGTCTGGCTGTTTGGTTTATTTATCATTTTGCTGTTTCTGTTTTTTGTTTTTTTTCAAGACAGAATTTCTCTGTAGCTTTGGAGCCTGTCCTGGAACTAGCTCTTGTAGACCAGGCTGGCCTCGAACTCCCAGAGATTCGCCTGCCTCTGCCTCCCGAGTGCTGGGATTAAAGGTGTGCAGCACCCAGCCTGGTTAGTTATCATTTTTTATTATGCCCTGGAGGAACTGCTTTTACTTAGAATGTGTAGAAGAGAAAACTTAAATATTTGATTTTTACTTGTATCTGGAAGTGTAGGAATTAGGCTTCAGATCTTCGACCCTGGCACTTTTCAGAAATGGTGGCTTTTCTTTTCCCGCCGGGTCCACAGCTGCGCCGGGTCCACAGCTGTGTGCTCTCGGTTCTGCCCCAGTTTGTAACAGGGACAGGAGAAAGCTCCAGGGCATTTGGGATTTCTGCTGATAAATCCATTCTGGCTGTCTTTGTCCCAGAAGGAACTGTGTGAGACAACAGCGCGCCACACTATGGAAACCATTTCATAACCTCCATGTCCCCAAGAACACCATATGGTAGGCCTCGGATACACACAATAAAATTTATGTAGGCGTAAAAAATAAAAACGTGAGGATGAAACAGCTGAGAGAGTCCATTAAGTAAAGTAAAATAAAGAAGTCTGAGGCGGGTCGCCCAGCTCAGTGGCAGAGTGCTCACCTAGTAGGTACGAGGCCCTGGGTTCAGGCTCCAGCACCATCACACAAAACATAAACAAAATGTATAGAAGAAATTAAATAAAAAGTATAGTAATAAACATAAAAGTATAAGTATGCATAGCCTTTTTCATCTACTAGAAAATATTTTACTACTGTTTTACAATTGTCTACAGCTTGTCTTCTGCTCTTCCCTCAAATTCAGCCTTTATTAGTGTATCAAGGTGAAGAGGGTTAAGGGGGTATGTTTGTGTGTGTGTGTGTGTATGTGTGCATGCATGCATGTGTGAACATACAAATATAGTGTGTGTATATATATATAGTGTGTTTATATATAGCACATGTATATATACTGTGCATGTATATATAGTATGTGTATATATGTATAGTGTGTCTATATGTATAGCATGTGTGTATATAGTGTGTATGTGTATGTATGGTGTGTGTGTATATATATACTGTGTGTGCATAAATAGTATGTGTGTATATATAGTGACTATTATGTATATAGTGTGTGTGTACGTGTGTGTGTACATCTGTGTGTGTGTGTGTGTACCATTTCACTCACCTGTGTTGTTGAGTAGAGGAAAGCAAGCCAGGAGGAGAGAGAGCAGGCAGGATATGTTGGTGGGAAAACTGGTGAAATTAGCGCAGAAAAGCCAGAAACTGCTGGGAAAGTGGGTCCTAGGTACAACCAACCCCGCACATTTCTGGGAACTGTTGGCACAGATTCTGAGCAATACCTGCTGTTGAGGAGAGCGTTTTCAATGACAGGAAAATACCACTTTATCAAGAGACTGCACATGGCTACTACACCACACATACCCCAACTTCCAGTATTTTTGATATTTTTCCAAACTCTTTTCTTTGAATTTTACATCATACTGAGTTGACCTAACTCATATTACCAAATAGCAGGAACAAAAGAAACGCTTTCTGTTCAGATATTCTGCATTGAAATAAATGAATGGCTCCTAACGTTAAGACTAAATTAGAAGCGCATAAAGGAACTGTCAGGGAAGATGCATGGGACTTCAGTCGTCTTGCGAAACTCGGGGGAGAGCTCAGGTCTGAACCTTTAGCATCACCGTCCCAGAGCTCCCTGCAACCACCAGCAGATCTTTCCACGTGTTTCTTGTATCTGTTAGTGTGCTTCACTAGTGTACTTGCCTTCTATTGTTTCCAAGAACGTTCTCCTTATAGAATCCATGTTACCTAGAGTTCCCCCATCCCCTGGCTGGGATCAAACCAGGGCATCTTGAATTGCTGGTAAAGTTATTTGACCAGTGAGTTAGATGCCCAGCCCCAGCTCTTGTGTGCTAGAAGCTCACCGATGACAGAGAGGATATTTTGTCTCTACAGTGACACGGTAAGGAACCACAGAGGCCTTTCTTGGAGTGAGACACACCTAAGTTCCAATATTAACTCCGGCAATTTCTCAGTTAAAATGAGTGAAAAAGAGAGCACACGTTTGAAAAAGAGCAAGGAAGGACATTAAGGGAGGATCTGGAAGGAGGAAAAAAGAGGGAGACATGATGTAATTACAGTATTAAACTCAAAAATAAAAGAAAGGGGGAGTAATTGGCTGGAGAGGCGTCTCAACAGGTAAAGGCATTTGCTGCCAAGTCTCTGACCTCAGTTCAGTCACCAAGACCTACACAGGGGAAGGAGTTGACTCCTCGGTTGTCTCTGAACCTCCATTACATATACACCCCAACATAATAAAGCTTTTAAATCTGTGTGTGTGTGTGTGTGTGTGTGTGTGTGTGTGTGTGAGAGAGAGAGAGAGAGAGAGAGAGAGAGAGAGGGATGCGATTTCACCTTGTTCAGTCCCGATGCTCATGTCTGTAAACTGAAATACTAATGCCTATTTTCCTCAATTGTAAACATTCCATGATGTTACATTCCAAGATACGGGAAAGCGTTTCTCCCGATGACTGCTATACACAGTTTTAAACCAAAAGTCACCATTATGATGTGTCTCTCCTTTCCTGGGGGCATCCTATGAAACACAGAAGGACCTTCGCTGAGCAAATTATAGCTATAAGGAGAAAAACGTTTTAGAGGAACCCAGGGGCCATCACCCTTGACTTATTTTTTTCTAAGGTTTATTTTTATTTTTACTTATGTGTATATGTATGTGTGTGCCACCTATGTGCTAATTAATGCCCAGAAAAGAATGCAGGATCCCCTGAAACTGGAGTTCCATGTCATCGTGAGCCACCCAGCATGAGTTAGGAACACATTCAAGTCTGCTGGAAAAGCAGCAAGTGCTCTTAACCTCTGAGCCATCTCTCCAGTCCTACACGTGACCTATTAAACCTTTATTTTCCCTATTGTCTTACGATTTGTAGCCACTGGAGCTCGGTGGCATTATCCCACACCGAAGGAGCCTCACTGGGGTGGGAAAGGAGAAGCGTTGGTCCCAGGGCCTCTCTCTGGGAGCACTACTGTTCTCACAGAGATCCCAACCCCATCCCTTGTTCCTTTGCTGCTCAACCACCCATGCCTTTCCGTAATCACGATGGCTTTGGAGAATCACTTAGTGATGAGAATGTCTCTTGACTAACCTCCCCCTGTGGGGATTCCTGGTAGCTAGACAGCCTCTTCAACTCCATCTCCTACAAGAAGTGCTTCCCGTCCCTGGGTGTGTCTCTATCTCATGCAAAAACTGGCAGCGCATACCGCCCTGCTCCAGCTACCAGCTTCCTGTCACTTCCCCCAGTGAACTGCAAGGTCTCTGGGAGCAAAGTCTGGCTTGGCTTCCTGTTTGGTCAGTGCCAAGAGCACCTGTGTTCCTAGGCAATAGGGCTGCTGAGCTGAGTTCCACTGAAGCCGGTCCTAAGGATGTAGCCAAGAGTGAAGCTCTAAACCCAGAGTTTACGCTGCAGAACCCCTCCTTTGAGCAACTAAAGTTGTTTAAGACTCACTGGGAGTGTGTGTGTGTGTGTGTGTGTGTGTGTGTATGCATGTGTGTGTATGCTTACGTGTGTGTGCACGTGTGTATGCGTGTGAATATAATCAATATAAATAGTATGAAATGCTCAAAGAATAAAAAATGTATTTAAAAAAAGACTCACTAGAGGAAGTCACCAGAAATAGATTTCAGTAAGCTGGAAGGACTGGGGGTGGAACAGGGGTTCTGTTTAGAAAACAAAGATTTCCAAGAGGCTAGCACCAACCTTTTCCCTCTTCATAATTTAATGTTTTTCTCACCACTCAGTTATTACCCAGGAACAGGGTAGAGATCCAATACCTGCAGCAGTGCAATGCCTGGGAACCATTTGAAAGAGTCCTGACTGGATAAGCAGACAGATATTACTCTACTGGTCGTAGAAAATAAATAAACATTTATCTGGTTCTAAATATGACTTTCAAATCATCCAACACATTAACCTTTTCAAAATACAAATTCTTCCATCTCAATGACCATTACCCCATAGTTTGCTATAAAGTTCCATCTTTTGCTGGACTGGGTGAAATTAACCTCCGGGAAAATGTACTACGTCAGTAATTCACTTTTTTCACTTCTCATGGGAAATAAAACAGAATTCCCATTTCCACTTCGTCATTGTCTTTCAGAGACTGGGACGGTTCCACAGCCTCATCTGTGCTTGAAGAATGCTAAGGTCTTCAGGCTTCTCTGGCCTTCAGGTGGCTTTTCACAAACTCAGTCAATTTCCTGAACCCGGCATCCAGTCCTTCTCCGGTGACAGCTGAGCAGGGTTGCACGTACCAGCACCGGTCGCTACACAGCTTCTTCACCTTGAATATCCTGGTGATCTCCTCGGCACTCAGAGCTCCGGGCAAGTCTTGTTTGTTGGCTAATATGACGACCGGCGCGTTTTTGATGTGTTCATTCTGCAAAATGTGCTTGAACTCTTTGCAGGAGTCCTTGAGTCTCTGCTTGCCGTCGGAACAGTCCACCACGTACACCAGCCCGTCTGCGTTCTCACAGTAGCAGTCCCAGACGGTTCGCATCTTCTCCTGCCCTCCAACATCCCACACGGTGAGCGGAAGATCAGTATCCAGCTGGACCATTTCCACGTTGAAGCCGATGGTTGGGATGGTCGTGAGAGTCTCAGCAAGCTTTAACCTGTAAAGCAGAGTAGATTTCCCAGCTGAGTCGAGTCCCAGAAGAAGAATATGGGCTTGTTTGCCTTTGGGATTTTTAGAATTCAGCAATCCCATTTTGGGATTTTTCTTCCTTGAAGTTCTTTTCTTCTGGCCGGGGACAATGGTTCCTTTTCAATTCTTGCATGAAAACGTTTAGGGAGAAAAAGTAAGTAAGCGCCTGTAGCCCGAGAGCAGGTGGCTGGCAGCTCCGTTTATATTGTAGCTTATCGACTTGATTACAGTCAAATAGCTTTATTTGCAGTCCCAGCCAATCCTGAGGAATCTGTGGGAGTAACCAGCCGGTATCACAGTGGCTCAAAGGGGACATTCTTTGCCACTGAGTAGGATTAGGAGTGGCCCGAGGCTGCAGCTTTATTCTCTCAGGCGCAAACGTTTGGAGGAAATGAAATACTAAAAAAGACATTCCCAGGACCACCACCGCAGAACAAACGCGACCTTTGGTTTTAACTAGCTTGAACTAAACTCTTTGGTAGAACTATCTTATCAAGTTGTAACTAAGTATCGGGGCTGTCGAACCACCCGCAGAGTTTATCGCCCTCTGTATCTAAATGCTTCCTCTTACCCAGTTACTCAGCGGGAAACTTTGAGCCCGCCACCTCAGTCTCCTAAGCAAAGCATCACTTCCAGGCAGGGTACTTAACGCTATTCACAGGACCAAATTTCTCTGGGGAAATATTTTACCCATACACTTTTCAATAAAACAGACCGACTGAAGCTGAAGATGGCAAACTGACCGCAAGTGAACTTCACCAGAGCCATGATGAAGGAAAAAAAGAGCACATAGTCATCAGAGTCCATGGGAGGGTGGGGTTTTTAACAGAGATTCTAGGAGACAGAAAATGGGTGGAAGATGGGTAACTGGCCTAGTGAGATAAAGCTGAGGCTTCAGGGTTGGTGCACTGGAGAGAGGCAGCGGGAAGAGCAGAATATATATATATATATATATATATATATATATATGTGTGTGTGTGTGTGTGTGTGTGTGTGTGTGTGTGTATTCTAATATATATATATGTATATGTATATATATTCTAAAATATATTCTAAATATATCCTAATATATATTCTAATATTCTAAAATAAGAAATGGATAAGATTTTTAAAAAAGGAACTCAGAAAACAAAGACCAAGTCCTGAAAACTTATTTTGAAAAGCATATATTTTAAAGCCCTATGGTGGTGGTGTACACCTTTAATCCCAGCACTCAGGGAGCAGAGGCAGGCGGATCTCTGAGTTCAAAGCCAGCCTGGTATGCAGAGTGAGTTCCAGGATAGCCAAAGCCACACAGAGAAATGATGTCTCAGGGAAAAATAAAAAGAGAGAGAGAAAAAAAGATCTATTGGAAACTGCATGATAGGAGCCAGGTGGTGGTGGCGCATGCCTTTAACCCCGGCACTCGGGAGACAGAGGCAAGCCATCTCTGTGAGTTTGAAGCCAGCTTGGTCTACAAGAGCTAGTTCCAGGACAGGCTCCAAAGCTACAGAGAAACCCTGCCTTAAAAAAACCAAAAGAAAGAAAAAGAAGAGGAAGAGAGAGAGAGAGAGAGAGACTGCGTAAGAGGTTAAAGGCAAACACTAAAGGAATGTTTCCGAGAAAGAGAAGAGGGAGAGAGGATCAGCTTCAGTCACAGTCCAAGGATGGGGCCTTACTCCTCAGAAGACAGAAGTAGGCCAGCAGAGCACAAATAAACAATTTGCAAGTATTTCCCAGTATTGCAGAATGTACTCTAGGGCTGGGATGCTCCCTGGGGCAAGGTATTTGCCACACAAGCCTCTGCATGACCGGAACCCATGGAGAAGAGAGATTAAGGAAGAGGACAACTCCTCAGTTTTCCTCTGGCGTCCACAAGTCCATGGTGGCAAGTGTATACACACACACACACACACACACACACACACGTGCACAAGTGCACACACACAATTTGTTTTTAAGAGTAACAATAAACAATGAAAAATAAGCAATGAACTCTCTAGATGGAAAGGCTCCCCTCAATGCTTAACAATACGATTTTTTAAAATTTTTTTTTAGTTTTTCGAGACAGGGTTTCTCTGTGGCTTTGGAGCCTGTCCTGGAACTAGCTCTGTAGATCAGGCTGGCCTCAAACTCCCAGAGATCCGCCTGCCTCTGCCTCCCGAGTGCTGGGATTAAAGGCGTGCGCCACCATCGCCCGGCCAACAATACGATTTTTATGAAAGAACTTTCTTGAGGCATATGATGTCATGTTTTATTTAAATATTAAATAAAATATTTATTTTTTATTTAAATAAAAATGTTTTATTTAAATACTAATTTTTTAAAAAAAAAAAAAAAGAAAAAAGTTTTGAGGTAAAGTACTGTGTGTACAAAAAAAGTACACAGATAAAAAAAAAATGAGGACCTAGAGAGATGGCCCAGCAGTTAAGAAAACTTGCTGCTCTTGAAAAGGAATAAGGTTTGGTTCCTACCACCTCCTTTTGACAGCTTCTGAACTACCTATAACTCCAACTCCAGAGGACCTATCACCTCCTTCTGGCCTCCCCCAGCACCCACACATACGGCATGCACATGAACGTTCACATAATTAAAAATAAAACAAAAAAAGTCTGTAAACGGGTTTACAATTTACATTTTTAACCAGCTCACTATGTCTCCGCAATGAAAGGTGTTGTACTGATCCCACTGGCCACCCGATCAGAAGATCGGTATGCAGGCCGAATGCGTGGCTGACAGAGAGAATGCCTACTCTGGGAACCACACTTCGCTGGGTGCCAGCCCTCAAAGATAAATTAGATCTGCCTTAAAATGGCCTTTCACTGGAGAGAAGACAAAGACAGATAAACAAATGAAAGGCACGTAAGTGGAAAATGTCCCGTTCCATGAGGAAAGCTACGTGTCTGGATCTTCAGGGATTGTTTCAGGGTGGAAGGCATTGGGGAATCTTGAGGTGAATTTCAAACTTGGAAAAACACAGGATGGAGATAGAGAAGCAACAGCTTGTGCAACAGGGGGTTGCTGTTCTCCAAATCTGTGTCACGAGAAAGCCAGCTACAGCTAATTGTGATGCGCCTGTATCTGTTGGCTCAACTGGACACGAAGTAAGACGGCAGGGCTAGAGTCTTCAGTTCTGTCCACGTCACACAAGAAGCAGAAATAAGTAGGAGAAAAGGCAGAGTAGGGGACAGTAAAAGTGCAGCGTGCGGTTCTGTAAACGACACTTCACAAAAATACCAGTTAATAAAATAATAAATCAATGAAACAACACCAGCAAGGTGGGTGGATCTCTGTTAGTTAGAGGCTGGTCTGGTCTACACAGCAAGCTCCTAGACCAGCTAGGGAGACTCGCTTCAAAAAGAGGAGAAATATACAAATATATATAAGCATGTAAGCGTAAGTATTAGGGAAGTTGGTTATGGAGTACTTATTACATTGGCTGGGACTCAGGAGATGTCTCAGCGGACAATGTGCTTGATGTGCAGGAATGAGGGCCTGAATACAGATTCCCAAGCATAAAAACCGATGCAACAGCACATGTCTGTAACCCCAATCTGGGGTGGATGGGCAGAGGGTGAAAAGCTGGGTGGGGGCTCTCTGGCCACCCAGTCTAGCTGAAATGGCAATCTCCAGACCCAGTGAGAAATTATCTGGAGAAATAAAGTGGAAAATAAAGCAGAGGAAGGCATCCAAAATCAGTCCCCGGCCTGTGTGTGCATATGCTCTCAGAGACACACACCACCATTGGTCATCAGTGGTAAACTTGAGGACAACGGTGGGATTGTGGCCATGGAATAGGACACCCTCGTTCTAATAAGATGCTAGGAATGATAGCAGCAACTGAGTCAACAGAAACAGGTGCATCGCAGATACGCATCTGAGCAAGGGGAGGAATGCCTGCAAACAGGGCCATAGCGCACAGCAGGCGGGGTTAAATGAGCAGTTAAATGGGATTCTGGGAACTGTGGTTGATGGTTTGGTTTTGGTTTTTTGTCCCTCCAAACTTCCTTCTAGCCTTAAAAGCTTTCAGGAAAAAAAAAAAAAGACATGTTGGAAGGAACTGAACTGGAATGAACTGATCAAATTCGGCAACATTCAGAGAAAGAAAGGATCCAGGTTCAGGATGTAAGAAGGATGCTCTTCCTCGGATGAGCTGGGGACTCTGCATGCCACTCGACCTTTCTCCCACTCCAGTGCTTTGAATAAGCTAAATGTAACAGAAAAGTTAGACGTTTTCTTTGTATCAGACTCACTAATGTGATCTCACGCGATGTCCTGTTGGTGCTCGGGCATCCTTCCGTGTATCCAGACGACAATGAGGATGCTGCTGTGTCCTTGCCTTTACCACCAAAGCACAGGTCCCTTCTCAGGGCAGAACATCATAGTGCAATAAGCACATGACAAGGCTGCAGAACAATTTCCTCCCCCTGTTTATCGTCCTGAGCCTACAAATGTTTGATCCTTTGGTCCTCTCCCAAAACACATGTGGATTCTCTTGTTTAGTTTACTTAGTTTAGTTTCTTTAATTCTTTTCTTCTTGAGACAAAAGTTTCATGTAACTCAGGCTAGCCTCAAATTAACTGGGCAACTGAAGATGACCTTGAATTATTTTTTGTTGTTTTTATTTATTTATTTCACGCAGGGTCTCACTGTGTTGTCCTGGGTGGCCTGAAACATCTTATGGAGAGCAGGCTGACCTCTGACTCACAGAGATCTGCCTACTTCAGCCTCCCATGAACTGGAATAAAAGATTTGTATGGCAGTGAGGTGCAGCCCACAGCTTCATGCACAGTAGGCAAGCACTCTACCAACCATTTTTTTTTTCTTTTTTGAGTTTTGAAACAGGATCTCACTGTGTAGCCCACATTGTCTGAAAGTCACAGTGTAGCTCAGGCTCCTCTGGACTCTCCCATGGTCCTTTGATGTTAGCCTTCCACGGGATGGAATTACAGCTATGAGTCACCAGAACAGGCTCTCTCAAGCTCCCAATTTAGAGAAAGCAACATTTTTACCCACCAAGCGTTTTTTAGACCTATTTTTTAGAAGTGCAGTCTGGTCCAGAGCAACAGGCACTCAGGACTCAGTGAAGAATGGCAGAGTCCAATCTGTGACCTTTCTTCTCGGGGCCATATCTTCTGCCAGAACTGACGCTGTTACCACCCACATCCTAAAGGTGCCCACAAGGAGACTGGTGGATCTAGGTTCATATCTG